TCTTTCTTTAATGCAATTTGCTTTAGCAAACAAATAATAGATTCTTTCCTACCTTAGCCAAGTCAACGGATCTCTCCCATTAATGCAATTTGCTTTAGGAAACAAATAATAGATTCTTACCTACCTTAGCCAAATCAACGGATCTCTTTCATTAATGCAATTTTTCTTTAGGAAACAAAGAATAGATTATTTCCTACCTTAGCCAAATCAACGGATCTCTTCCATTAATGCAATTTGCTTTAGCAAACAAATAATAGATTCTTTCCTACCTTAGCCAAATCAACGGATCTCTCCCATTAATGCAATTTGCTTTAGGAAATAAATAATATATTCTTTCCTACCTTAGCCAAATCAACGGGCGTGTTTCGGTGGGTGGGCGTGGGGGTGGGGGTCATTTGATGGAAAAAAACCGGTTGAAAATAAACCGGTTGAAAATAAACCGGTTGAAAGTGGGGGGACTATTCAACCAATTCGTCCATTAGGAGTAGAGATATATAGATATACCTAAATGATAACGCCTACATATGTGGCACTTATCAATATTGCAGTTGTTGTCATCTGGGTCGAGAACCATGTAAGCACCCAAGCGTTGTGTTTGTGTTTTCATATAGTGCCACACATGTGGGCGCTCCTCGCCCAAACGGACACACGACGCTCGCCCGAACGTGTGGATGAAACTGCTCTTCACCGACCCGACGCTCGCACGATGATAGATGGCCACTACAATTGTGCACATGTGACAGCTAGTTAATCACATATGGCAGCTATGATTGACCATACATATCAATTATGGTTTGAACACACATGGCATTTTGATTAGTACATGCCAACTAAAGTTAATCACACATGGCAACTAAAATTAATTACACACGCATTCGCGCTCATAGGGTGGGGGTGAGCAGTTGCCACAGAGGGTTGTATGGGACGTTTTGCGTCCGAACATGTGGGCAGTTTTAATATTCGATCACAAAAGATCATGTGGGTTGGCTCCTGGGTACGACCGGACGAGTCGTATGGTCGGATGTCCATTGCGCCACATATGTGGCAGTTATAGACATCCTACATTTAAGGCAGGTTAACCAAAACTCTACTAGAGGCAACAATAATTACTCGAAATGTAAATCGTGCCATAACCAACAAGATTCCATATTCCATGGGCAGCACCACAATTGCAAAGCTGTAAACCCGGGATCCCCGGGCATTAATAATAACTGTCATCAAAGGTTAAAAGTTCCAAAGATACAGCCCAGTCCCAACGTGACCAATGTGAAGTAGTACTAGCCGTAAAACAAATTTCCGAGTAACAGAAAGATGCCTGAAGAGTGAAAAACGAGATTGCGAAAAACTAGCCAAGGGATTTATACATCCCCGAACCAACTCCAAAAACAAGCCGAGATAGTAGGAGTACATCTGGTTATTGCCTCGCGCCAACCCTCGACGCACAAGTACACGATGGGACGGACGTCCAGCCAGAGATTCCGGAACGGCGCCGCCCCTGATCCGAGCCGGATCCCGGCCACCACAGAAGATTCACTCCGAGCGGGCCCCGTACTCCAGCCAAAGGAGCCAAAACAAAAACCATGGCCGCCGCACGATATTCCCGAACGAAATCCCAACCGTCCGCCTATTTCGCGTGGCCACTTTTCTCCGTGCCTCGCCCGTCTCCTATAAATCAGACGCCACCGATTGGTTCCCCCAGCCAGCCTCATCAGTCATCACGCCAATCCCGGCTTCCCGATTCCGATCGCTGAACGCCAACCACTTTCCTAAGCAGGGGGGCGCCGCGGAGATGTCGGCGACGTGCGCGGCGGACCTGGGGCCGCTGCTGGGGGCGGCGGCGGCGAACGCCACGGACTACCTGTGCAACAGGTTCGCCGACACCACGTCCGCGGTGGACTCCACCTACCTGCTCTTCTCGGCCTACCTCGTCTTCGCCATGCAGCTCGGCTTCGCCATGCTCTGCGCCGGCTCCGTCCGGGCCAAGAACACCATGAACATCATGCTCACCAACGTGCTCGACGCCGCCGCCGGCGCGCTCTTCTACTACCTCTTCGGCTTCGCCTTCGCCTTCGGGACGCCGTCGAACGGCTTCATCGGGAAGCACTTCTTCGGCCTCAAGGACATGCCGCAGACCGGCTTCGACTACAGCTTCTTCCTCTTCCAGTGGGCCTTCGCCATCGCCGCCGCCGGCATCACCTCCGGCTCCATCGCCGAGAGGACGCAGTTCGTCGCGTATCTCATCTACTCGGCCTTCCTTACGGGATTCGTCTACCCGGTCGTGTCCCACTGGATCTGGTCCGTCGACGGCTGGGCCTCCGCGGCCCGCACGTCCGGCCCGCTGCTCTTCAAGTCCGGCGTGATCGACTTCGCCGGCTCCGGCGTCGTGCACATGGTCGGCGGCATCGCCGGCTTCTGGGGCGCGCTCATCGAGGGCCCCCGCATCGGCCGGTTCGACCACGCCGGCCGCTCGGTGGCGCTCAAGGGCCACAGCGCGTCGCTCGTCGTGCTGGGGACCTTCCTGCTCTGGTTCGGCTGGTACGGGTTCAACCCGGGGTCCTTCGTCACCATCCTCAAGTCGTACGGCCCGCCCGGGAGCATCAACGGGCAGTGGTCGGGCGTGGGCCGCACCGCCGTGACGACGACGCTGGCGGGCAGCGTGGCGGCGCTCACGACGCTGTTCGGGAAGCGGCTCCAGACGGGGCACTGGAACGTGGTGGACGTCTGCAACGGCCTGCTCGGCGGGTTCGCGGCCATCACCGCCGGGTGCAGCGTGGTCGACCCGTGGGCCGCCGTCATCTGCGGCTTCGTCTCCGCCTGGGTGCTCATCGGGCTCAACGCGCTCGCCGGCCGCCTCAAGTACGACGACCCGCTGGAGGCGGCGCAGCTGCACGGCGGCTGCGGCGCGTGGGGGATCATCTTCACGGCGCTGTTCGCCAAGAAGCAGTACGTGGAGGAGATCTACGGCGCCGGCAGGCCGTACGGGCTGTTCCTGGGCGGCGGCGGGCGGCTGCTGGCGGCGCACATCGTGCAGATCCTCGTCATCGCCGGCTTCGTGAGCTGCACCATGGGCCCGCTCTTCTTGGCGCTCAAGAAGCTGGGCCTGCTCCGCATCTCGGCCGAGGACGAGATGGCCGGCATGGACCTGACCCGGCACGGTGGGTTCGCCTACGTCTACCACGACGACGACGAGCACGACAAGTCGGTCGGCGGCTTCATGCTCAGGTCGGCGCAGACCCGCGTCGAGCCGGCGGCGGCGGCGAACAGCCAGGTCTAACCAATCAAGCCGGACTACGTAACAAGAAATCCAGTGGAAATCGCCTTTCTGTTCTCGCGCGTCATATCACATATGTGATCCGATCATGGGATCAATATTTCCGGTGCTGTTTGGGCCAATACTTTGGCGCTCTTGTGTTCGTTCACAAGATTGTAAAATTATTACACTAGGACGAGGTTATTTTTTTTACCTTTTTTGTGTACATGCGTGCGTTTAGAGGAGATGTGTGGTGTGTGGATGGAATCTGCAGGGCTGGGGTTTTTTCTTTCTTGGTGATATCTTGTCATTTTTGTGGTGGAATTTTGTGATCATGAGGGTGTGGTCAAGATAGGTGGCTGCTCAAGGTTGAATTGTTGAGATTTGTCCTCTAGTACGGGCCACCCTCTCTATCAAAACTTTGGCGCGTTTTCTCGATCGAATGGCTTTTAGTTTTTCCGCTACGTATGTTCCCGACGCTCTATCGAGCTTCACACATATTTTTAGTGAAAGTTTTTCTAGTTTTCACTCTTCATTTTGATGCATGTTCCCTAAAAATAATAGGGGGTTGGTTCTCTGTGCACACTTATATTTAGTTTACACGGCTACACCTACAAACAAAACACCTCACAAGAGTACCCTACCTACTACTCCCTGTTTTAAATGAGCCGGCATAGACCAATATAGATTGGTCGTGTAGAGACGCAGCAATCATATTCAAACCTTCCTTCATTTTGGAGCCAGAAAAGAGGGATCAGAGGTACAAAACTGTGCTAGTAGTACAAGCTATAATTAACCTGGAGCATTGGCAACCACTACTATTTCCTGTCTCCAATACTTGTGCTCGTATGCTAACTGAAAGCGGGCTCAATTATGCAGTACCAACAGCACACACCTCCCTTTCACTAATCCTGCCAAATAAGGCGCTTGGAGTTGGAAAGAGATTGGAGAGTGCTTGCGATGCGATGCGAGCGAGCTTCGTCTCACCAAGTTGCCGGGCCAGGACAACACAGGTCGCGCAGACGTCGCATAAACAAAGCATGCACTCCTATGTCACCGGGTGGACAGGGAGGAAAACATTAGATAACTGTCACAGTGTCGCTCTATCGAGATTCTCTAGGGCTAACGACCAAAGCCTGTGGATAAAACTCTGAATAACTTATTTTGAATAATATATAGGAGAAAGTTCTCTGGCACGTCTCATTATTACCGTAGCAAGGTGATTTTATCAGGCCGAAGACCTTGTATGAATTACCATAAACCCTTACAAACACCTTTTGCAATTTTTTTTTTACAAAATACATCTAAATCCTTGAGGATGCCGAGATCACCTTCCTCCTGCATCCATGGGTGATCGCGCCATGTGGAAAGCTCGTTTCCACCTCTGGCTTCCATCTCAATAGAACAAACTTGTTTAAATCTAGGAGCTTGTAAAAGCAGCGGTTAAAAAGTCGACGATAAAAAGACGCCAGCAACCACGATCTACATAGCAAATCGCCATGTTGAAGAAGAAAAAATCAGATAGGGTATATAGAATGCTCCAGTTCCGGCTAGACAAAGTTGAGGAACACCACTATCACACACTTCCCGACGAGGCCAAGGCTAGCCCACCTTTGTCAGTCGGAAATGGTATCGGAGAATCAAGACGCACAACCACGTTGTCTGCTCCGCCGAACGACACTACCGAGATAAATCCGCACAAACTTTGCTAGACCCAAAAAATAGACCTAGGGATCCACCATCTTCCACTCACCTCCTAACAAGGTGAAGAAGCATCATCAAAACGAGGGAGGGGATATCTTATTCCACGCCGACATAGACCAACGTCTCCTCATCCATGAATGGAAACAAACCCTAACCTTACCACCATGGGGCCAAATCCCTGGCCCCCATAATCATCACCAAGCAATGGACGGAGGAAGAAGGGGCCCTCAGACTCGCCATGGAGTGGGGTAAATCAGCCGCCGCCACCGCCTGTTGCCTAGGTTAGGGAGCACGAACGGAAATAATGTCTGTAGCTGGAAGATGATTTCCATATAGAATCACGGAATACTTAGTTAAATGTGTAACTTCTTTAGAACCACATTTGCAATACCAGTACTTCTTAAAATGTAAGGCATACGGTTATTGTCTTAAAATGAAGTATATTTCATTAAGTTGATAGAAAAAAATATGAATGACTATAGTTCGAAATCAATGTCGGTGAATCTGTCATGTAAAATATTTTTGTAGTACAATTATTTGGTATTCTAGATATTGATAACTTTTCCATGAATTTGGTCAAACTTGAAAAGTTTGATACTACAACATACAATTTACATGCCTTATGTTTTGGGGACAGAGTGAGTGTATATTAATATGCAATCCAAATAAATGCCCTTTGCTTTCTTCAACTTTATCAACATAGTTGTCCTTCTAACATTTTCAATGCATTATCAATCAACGTTTACCCACATAAAAAAATTCAACGTATTTCATATTTTGATCATTGCAAAAAAAGCAAATTAATTCCGTTTGTATGTGCTTGCCTACTTTAGGAAAAATAGCAATTTAATTATTTTATGAAGAAAAAAGGGATATACAATTCCTAGGAAAAGGCAATATAGTCATTTCAGCCGAGAGCTGAGGCGTTACCGAACATGCCCTTAATTATTCTGACCAAATTTGAAAAGAAATCTAATTTGAAACAGTGTGCATACAAAACATGAATATTTTGTTTCTAACTTTGGATACACGAATTTAGTATATTTTAAACATCATCTTTTTTTGGGTGGGGGAGGGGGCAGGCCTAATGGACTTAATGGAAGAAACATATATAAAATGTTTTCTTAAAACAAAGACCAAACGCTCATGTTGCTTTCCCTATGGTGGTTTTTTTTGCGGGAGCTCTATAGAGATGTTAACGCGTCGTATAAATTTGACAAGCCAAATCTAGGATAGAGCCCCATAAAAAGGGGCAGGCTGATTGAAACCCACCAAATTGCAACATACAATTTTTTTACCCAAATGATAAGTGATGTGGCACGAAGCACTCAAGCCATGATAATTTTTACAACTAAAATTATCATGCGGAACCCCCCCCCCCCACA